CCTTGTAAAATTTTTACAGTTTAATGACCATCATTTGTTACCACGGAGATAATGTATGTTGATTTTGTGCAGAATAATATTTAAAAAATACTTTACATAGTCAGAATTCAGTGACAATTTTCACTGAAATTATGTATTTTATTTATGTGTGCACCTAATTTTTAAAAGTTCATTGTACAGGTGAAAGTACACACATTTTCAAGAGAGGTACTTACGTAAAAGTACACAGAAGGTACAAAATAACTGCAATTAAAGGCAAATCTGGAAAAAACACCCGCTATCATGGAGCTGTAGCCAAATGCCATTTAGCGCTTGTCTACATGTAGAATAGAAAACCAAATATTAAGGAATTGACGTTAATTTTGACACTTGTCAGTGTCATCCCCATACATTTAGTTTTCTGCTCTCTCTGTAGACAAGCGCTAAAGTGGCGTTTGGCTAAAGGCACTGATGACCACTAAAAAATGACGTAGATATAATATCAGAGCCAGGGCTAGCTAGTGTATGTGTCATTTTAATAAACACATTGTAAAATACCAGTGTTCCTCTATCTATTAAAATATGATGTAAACTAGTTCAAGTCTATATGCGAATATAGATAAAAAATAAAAAACCTCTTCAAAATTCCCTAAACCGTTTAAAAACTAAAAAAATGCTGTTTCGCGAACCAAAGACTCATTCAAGTTCTATTTTTGTAAACGTAGCATTGACATTTTTACGAGAGAAGTAACAATTTAAGGGTTGTAAAACAAAACGTGTAGATAAAGTTCGCAGATAGAGCCACGTGTTGAGACAACCCTGCAAGCTGTCAACTTTTTTCACCCTTGTAAAATTTTTACAGTTTAATGACCATCGTTTGTTACCACGGGAATAGTCACGATCTTCAGTCATGGGTTGTACATATTATTGTAGATTCTAGTTTACAAGCACTATTATGATTGTTATTAGTTAGATGAACGAATATTTCCATTACCATACAATATTTCCAGTGAGCTACTTTCTTCGTTAACACCATTGTCACAAGCAGAGCTATTGCAAACAGTATATTTTTAACTATCTACTTCATCTTCACTATTTCGAACGTATAGATCCTTAAAATCCAACTATCCTTTAATATCTTAGCAACTCAACAAGTCGACATCGCGACCCGGATGCAATTAAACTATGTCCATAACCCACTATCAAAATTCGTGGAATCACTTAATTTATAGTTTACGTTATAGTTTTTGCAATAATAATCAATGCGTTTATCATCGTTGCCATGTGTGACTCGGCCGCGGCCGCGTGGAGTGGGATCTACCAAAAAACGGTACAAGATTTATGCTGCTCTTGACTTGTAAGGTTTCCCGTTGCTAAGGACTTAAGGTATGCAAAGTTTGTGTTGTTGTATTTGTTTGTATAGAGGTAGTGGAAGGAAGTGCAAACAAAATCCTAAACTCGATTGGTGCTAAAAGTAAATTCATAAATAGTTTTTTAACCCTAACAAAAATTATTTGCTGATTGCGGCAATATGCACTGGGGTCTAATTTAGTAATAAGTTCCTTAATTGCTTCTCAATTTTTTGTCATCTGCCTACGTCATCATATAAACATAATTTTGTACCCTTTTCCAATTTGAATAACATTATGTTTTTAACGAAAATCTGTACTAAACCTTAACCTTTTATACCTCTGAAAAAAGTATTAGACAATCATAGTGCCTGCCTACTAATCTAAGTAGCTACTTTTACTACAATATTCCCGTGGAATCTCAATCCATTTTTCGTCGAAAACATAAATGTTTACGACATAATAAATAGGTGGTTACCGGAAAATGTGTATCTTCTGAAATTCCTGTACCTACGCGATATTTATTGGAGAAACTATTCGTCTAACTAGACTCTGACTCATTTTATTTATGTTCCACTGGAGAGGTGGGCAAACACTTTAAATAAAATTATAGTGATCTATTCTTGTACTGGTGAGTAGTATTTTTTTCCAAATCGATTATAAAGCAATTAGCCAGCTATAAAATCTAAGAAGTAAAAACATTGTTTATAATTTCATTATTTTTAGAAGTCGTCCCGGTATTTTCTAGTTTCTCGAAAAATATGACTTAGGTAGGTACTTAAGTAAGTAAGTACATTAAATGATTTTGCAACCAAACCTTTTCTAATCATTTTTCATTCTTTTTCATAAAGTCCAAAGATAAAACCTACCCAAAGTTAGTGATTTTTGAGAGCACTTGTTCTTTGAACATTCTTTCTTTTTAACTGAAATTAACAGAATCCCAGCAGCGTGTTAGGCTATAATGCCGAGTGTGTCACACTGACCTATTTTATCTAATGATTGACTTCATTTCGTTATTTTAGTCTATAAGCAGAAGTTACAGCTCATTAAGAAACATAGAAGCTAATAAATATTAATTTTATTAGCTTATAATAAATTTAATACTTAATTTGAAAACAAAATAAGCATTAACGATTGCACGGGTATTGTGTATTTTAAATTAAGGCACGCGTAGTTAAAGAAAAATAGTATTAGTAGGTATAATAACATTGTCTACTTTCCATTATACAATATTCAAATATCACTCAACTGTGACGTGAAAGAAACAAACACATTTTTAGGTACATTATTTTTATAACTAATGCTCAGTAAGAATTACTCATGGAACTGCTAGTACCAATACTTAATTTATTGAACTACTTATTTAAAAAACGGAACACTACAAGTACCTATGCGTAACATTTAAAACAAACGGATTGGAAGTGCTCAAGTCGAGTAGCGACGAAGTTTTTTCAGGTCCACGTCCGCCGGGCGTCCGTTAATTACCACAAAAACTGGCCACCCCAGTCGGCTCATTAATCTACATTGACATGTTTTGGACAAAGCTGATCCTTTGTTTTTCAAACACGCTTAACATATTTGTATATCAAAGTCTATTAATTTTGTCCCGAAATCGAATATTTTTCATGCGAATTACATAACTGAAGCATTGAAAGTTTTAAAAACATTTGGTGTTGTTTCAGTAAATGTTTTAGGTACTTTCCTACTAATTAGAAGTGTTACTTATGCGCCGGATAGATACATTGTCTAGAAATACATAATAATATGTTCATTTGAAGTGTTTTATTTTTTCGTTATAGATTTTAATTATCGAACTTTTGCGGTTGCGATAACTTCAGAAAAATGACTTTCATTTTGGGAAGATCGACATTATTTTTAGTGAATTAATTTGAATTATTTTGAGTAGGTACATTGATTATGGGCTACTTCATTTACTTTTTTATTCTAAACGAATTGATTCGAAGTCCTGAGAATTCTAGATGATTTTTCAGGACTTCTCTCAAAAGACCTCACCATATTAATTACCTCTATAAAGATTTCAATATTAAAATTAGTCAACAAATAATAAGTAAGTACATAACACTAAACACAACAAATCTACAATCACGTAACAACTAACTAACACACATTCGTTTGAAAAACAATTCGCTAAACATATTTACTCCGCGATTTTTCAGTAACAGGTCTCAATCGGCACCCGTTTAATCTTCACACAAAACTTTGATGTAGCTAGTTTGAAATCTAAGGAACATTATCCAGCATCTCAAAATGTTTGCGAGACAAAAAGATGATGGTAAAGAACTAAAGATCTGTAGCGGTGCGACACGGCTGGTTGTCAATCGTCGGCGCAGGCGTCGATCGCAGCCACTGCTGACGGATAGATGAATGAACACTATCAGAAAAGACCGATGGGAACGCGAAGTATTTGAGTCTCAAATACTTTGCCAGCAGCCGTTCTGTTCGCCTTATACGAATGATTTTGGTTTTGGCATAATTTTTAGGGTTAATTGTATATTGTGTAATAATGTAGCCCTACTTTTGGATTCGTCATTCCCAGACCCGCAAAATAATCCGCAGATCTGTCGTATAAAGTATCGTATTTAATTTTACGCGTGTAAATAGAATCCATTTGTCAAAATCCAACTGTATTAATTAGGTGCCGAAACTAATTTTGTCAATTGTGTATTGGTAAGAAGGTATTTTTGATATTCATAACTTTAGTTGCGGATAATGCAGACCTATTATGGTAAAACTAAGCTTTTTTCATGAAATGTTATTGTACGCGGATTTTAATGGTTTTTATAACATATCTTGTAGAGTTTTGTATCTAAGTTTGTCATTTACCTATTACTGAAATATCTACTTTTTCACATTAGAAACGACAATTTTAAATTATTTTTTGGAATTATTTAAATTATGTCTATGTAAAAGAGTACCAAATTAACTGAACAAAAGCTAGCTGTATAACAGATACATACATCGTAAGCAGTTTTAGAAAATTTAAAATGTAGTTATATTGGTCGTACGTGGTCACTTTTAAAGTACACAAATAAAACGTAAATTTCACACACACAATAAAAAAGCTAATTTTGTTACGCAAAGCCTTCTAACAGATATAAGCTTAAAAGGAAACTAATCAATCACTGAAAAACATCGACGTGGTAGGTAGTGTAAAAATTTCAAGAATTTTACATTCGTGCATATGTCTCTTCGTCGGTGGCAAAAATCATGCAAGTCACTAAGTATGCAAAAAATTAGAGCAAATCTTTTGTGCAGTACAGGAGTCCTATCAGTTTTATGCGAGGCAAAAAATTATATTCGATAGTCTACATACATGGAAACTGAAATTATTTTCACAAATAACACTAAATTGATTTTTGGTACCGTTAACACAGACTACATACTACAATAACAAAGTTGAATTTACAAAAAACATGTTATGCAGCATTCGATGTTGTATCGAACGATTAATAAAGATACAATTTAGTTTTTCTTTTTAACAAAATATATCTTTCACTATATGAGCTGAACTTTACCCTTTCTCTCAACAAGGACTCGTACAAAACAAAGACAATTTACCGGTTCATCAGAGACAGGAGTTGTCTTATTGGATCTCCATCAATCGGCACAAAAGACATGCAGCTAATCGCATCACTAGGATCAGTCACTGACCATCGAGTTGGCGCGGTTGCTGCCACTCGCCCCGCCATTCTTGTCCCTCCATCACATTTCTTCACCGGCGGCCGATTATTTTTTCAACGCGACACAATAAATCAGTTTTCTGTGCGTTAATCAAGTTATGCGGCGCGCGCGCAGACGGCGGCGCGAGGAGAACGCTTCTGTCGTCGGCGTACGTCGGCAGAGTCGAGCCCGCCCTGGCCCGCCCACCGCCCAATCGCGAGACCGTTTATTCCCACAGCAGTTCTCGGGCTTTATTTATTTTCATCTGAATTATGTACTGCACTGTTTGTTGCTTCGGATCTTACCTGTGTTGTACGCACCACTTAGACGGATGTTATCGACGATGTACGTTTTGATTTAAATCTTAAACTTATGTACCTATTGAAGCCCACTCACCAGATGAAATTGTCCAGAAATGTTTGTTGAGTCTAAGTTATATTTTAAATCAAGACATTGTATCGCAGCATGGTCATAATTTAGTCTCTAATTACTTACAGGCTACGTTAATCGGACAGGTAAGAGATAATTAATGTTTAAACCTCCGCATCTTTGTAAAAGTTTTTGTGAGCTAAACCGGTGCAGATATGTAGGTAGGTACCAAAAACATGAGGTAGACGCCCAGTATAAAAATATAATTTCATACGAATACAAGATAAGTCATTCGTTTACCGGAAATATTTATTCATGCCTATTCTTCAGGGGTCTAAATAAATTCCACCCAATCTATTTCTTAATTTTGTGAAATTTTTCTTTCATTTGGTTTCTCTCGTCTATGCTTTTCAAATCATTTTCAGCCAATAGTTGTTATCTTTCCAAGTAATAAAATTATATTGAACAATCTTTTCCCTAATCCATGTTCAAATCAATTATGTATCAACATACCTGGATTCTGCGAACGAATAAAAATACCCAATAGATAAATAGTTTATCTACACGTGTTAGTACTTACCTACTTGAAGTCTAGAACATTATTTGTTCTGTATAACTGATCTCTCAACACATAAGTGTGAATTTTATTTATCTCGCGGGTAGTGAGCTCATTGATCAATCCGTGCAGTAAACATCCACTCCAGTGCAGCTACTGATTCACAGGTAGGAATTCTTAGCATAAACAACGTTGTATATTGGTCTAGGAAAATGGATATAGCTCTAGTTACCGCACTGTAGATTCTAGAAGAAGCATACTAGAACATAGACAATTAATAATTTGTTTAATCTTATCTAAATCTGAGGACCCACCTGTACAGTAACTCGGATTTTTAGAGCAACAGTAAGTATGAATTATGATCTGTAGCTAAATAAGACATTACCATCATACATTCCTTTTCAATGTGGCAATGCTGAGAGTCTTCTGGGATCGTTCTCTAGTGACAGTGATGCGGACGAGTACTTTGGCACGTAATTAAGGGTATATTATTTTTTTTAATTATATTTATTTGTTAATTAGTTGCAGTTAACAACTAAAACTATGTAATAAAATAACCTAGTAAAAATTTTAAGTTGTAAATATTTATGCAATTATATCAGGCATCATCTTGAAGAATCATTATATCAGACAGTATCTACGCAAAAATTACGAGCACTGCAGGATCACATTATAAGATAAGGGTAAACGTACCTAACACCAGTCAGTGGATACAAAGAAGTTGCCTTTGAATTCCCTGTAACCTACTTGTAGGTTTAGAAACGACACTTTACAATAAACATAAAAATTATTAAGTAATTATGAACGTGGAGGAATCTAATTCAGTATCTTAGGATTATGTTAGATAGTTAATGTAGTTTGTTTACCCATGTAAATAAACAATAAATTGGTTTAAGCTGTCATGAACCTCAAGATGTAGTCCACTTCATAAAATTATATTCCCATAACGTGACCGTCGTGGAATGTAAAGGAAATATGCCCGATGATCTAACATTAACACACACGTAACCTTTCCAGTAAGTAGCAACTAAACAGCGATCTTTCTAGGCTCCTTGCTTACTTCTTTAGATTTCACCTCAGTCATACATCTCATAGTCGCTTTTATAAATACTTTTCATAATCCTACATACAATTGATTGCCTTGTCTAGCTGTATAAGCTAACAACAAAGTTATTACATAGATATAATAGACCAAACTTCATTTAAAGCACAAAAATATATTTACTACTATTTATCATGACTGCCTCATTGGCCGACTGGTCGCAAGTGTGACTGCCGGTCAAGGGGTCTTGGGTTCGATTCCCGGGTTAAGCAAAGTATTACTGGGTTTTTAAAAAAAATCTCAGTAGGATCACGGAGTCTGGAATTGTGCCCGGTATATGGCAATAGACTCACCCCCTATTACATGGGACTCATAACATAAATAGTGAAAAGTGGATGTTACATTGTAAGTACAGTGGCATAATGTGCACCTCTGCCTACCCCTTCGGGGATAAAAGGCGTAATGATATTATTTACCACAGTTAAATTTCATTTTCGATTTTACACAACTTTCGCCTTTATTACACATATTAATTAAATGCATTGATTTGTGACACTTTAATACGACCAATGTACAGATTGAAGTCTTTAATGTTTGTTGTACCTATGTTTATGAATATTACTTTAGTACTACGACCGCTACGCGCGCTACGAATTCTCGTAGCAAATTCATAAATCATTAAAACTTATTGAATAAGTTTAAACTTGCTAGTATTTCACCAACTTAGAGGATCCCCTATCCTCTCTATATCATCTGTCTATCTCCCTATTCACACAGGCTATTTTTCAAGATTTAATAAATTATGAATAGACTAAACTAATGCCTGCAACTTTTTCTTCAAACAAAATACCGACGTTTTACATTTAAAATATACAGATTTTCCACTTTGATATAAACTTTCTATATTTCTGTTTTTATTATAAAATATCATATTATTTGTATAAAAAACTGTATTAAATTGACTTGTCTTTTTATAATCATAAATTCGAACGTTAGTTTCCGTTTAGAAAAAAATAAGAACACTGGTTGGCATCAGCAAGGGATAATATTTCATTTCATAAAGAAATATAAATGGGAATACACGAATAATATTATGTAGAAACTTCCTTCATTAATAACCTGGTTAGAATATTATGATTTCTTTCAAAAACATCAGAATGTTAGTTCTAATAATGAAACAATGATTGCGATTACCACACGTAGAAAACAGAATAAATTATAAAGGAAAATATAGACATGCAATGCACTCATACCAATTACATTAGTAGAACATCTCGGTCTTTTAAAACACATCCATGTAACTGTCGAATATTTAAAAAAGTTTTTGAAGAAACGTAGCTAATTTATTTTTATTATCACATTATTTTTTATCCGAAACAATCCTGTCGAATGATATCTGAACGAAACATAACAACATTATAATTCATAATATTTTATTCAATTTTATTTATTATCTGTACCCATATCATTAGATATTCTCCCAATATTTTCGGTCAAGAGAAAAGCTTTTTTTAAACTGTAGGCGTGACTTAAGTATTGTTGTCTCGCTCTCTGGTGAATCATTTAGCAAGTGTGAATGGGACGGGATGCTAATAGGTGGAGTTTGAACGAACATCCCACGTTACAGAACAGTTCTGTTAAAAAATAAAACAAATCACCAGCTAATAGGTTGTTTAATGTATCAGTCTATTTGGGTATTGAATGCTAAGTATTAATGCGTGGTGTGGCAACAGGTCGTTTGTCAAGATGTACTGAGCTTCGTCGTTGAACCTTTACTGCCTAGATGTTCATTTATATAGGAGAAATGCTTATTTTTAGACGTGGATAGAGTACAGGTTTGCTCCAAAATGGGCAAGGCAACCTAATAAAAGCAAGATTTTTTACACAACATCTTTCAATATTATCAATATTCTCGTTGTCATTTTACATACCTAATACTATTGGCCAAGTTTTAACTCGTTGAGTACCGTAATTATAGACACAATTAAAGGTCAAACACCGAGCGGTCACCGGTGACCGCTCGGTGTTTGACAGTTTAAGGAAAAGGTCATGCACATTGAACAATTCATAAAAAAAAATTGTCAGAAATATCCTTCATAATTTGCAACATAGTTTAAAGTATGTCGCAAAAAGGAAACGATCGGAATGGAAATTGCAACTCTAAAGTAGAAACACTACTTCAAAAATATCCGAAAATAAAGTACGAACATCTATGCAGTGAAAAATCATGAGCAAGCTAAGAGAACTGCTTTTATTTAAGTTTACAGTGCGCAGGCGACGACAGCGCTAACGACACGGTCTTCCTGCAAGCATTTGTCTGTCAGCGGCCACTCCTGCGCCGGATGCATCGCCAGAAAAACGGGTTTGTACTAACACTACGACTTGTTGGAAAGTTAGGACATTTAAAATTTCCTAATAATTTTGTTATTAGAGGCATTCCTCTAATAACAAAATTATTAAGAAATTTTAGGATAAAGATATTGGATGGATCCAAAAGTAAACCAATATAGTTTTTAATGTTTGACGAATATCTATGCCGCGTTGGCAGATGAATCAGAAATGTTATTACCGATTGAGAGATCGCGGGTTTCATTGCCTACAAAGTGTCTGCGAAATATCTCATCCTCCGTAAATTGTATCTAGTACCTAGCTCTGTCTGAAGTAGTTTATTCCTTTGCCCTATTCCAGATTTACGGATGATAAGCTTCTCCGCAGCAGAAAAGAATTAGGTAAGGTCTGTTGCACAATGTCCAGATAGCCGCCTATTGGATCGACACATCAATGACTTACCCTAAAAGACGTCGATACGTATATGATTTCAGTGATACAAAGGTTCTTCCATGAGTAAACTACAATCATAGTCACCATACTGTAAACTGTAACAAAACTTTCTCTGTAAACATGGAACAGTAGCGTTTGTTTACTGGGAGAGATCGTAAACGACGCACGAGTGTGTGGTGCGCAGCTAATTTTGTTTTCTAAACAGCCTCTTCAAAAGAATAATTTCTCAGAAATAATAATTAAGTTACTAACGCTATTCAGGCAACATCAGCACTATATAAGTAACTCTATGCGGTTCTCTTTTACTTGATAGATCTTACGCGATCATTCTATCTTTGCTGTTTATTGCAACAATCTCTGCTGTCAGTGGCTTCGTCCGCGTCCCCGTGGGATGAAAAGTAGCTGTGTGTTATCCCAGACCATAATGCAACTGTTCCAAATTTCATCCGATCCCTTCAGAAGCCTTAGTACGAGTTTCTTTTTCGTTTAAAGTAATCGTAACGAGTACGCGTTCGGCACTCTGATTGGCCGGCGCCAATGAAGCAACCAATCAGAGCGCCGAATACATACTCGTTACGAATACTTTATACGTAAAACAAACTTGTACTGAGGCCTCAGGAGTTTTGACGTGATAGAGTAACAATCGCACGCATTTATAATATTAAGTAAGATAACTTTAGCCCCTTCTATCACAGAACTGAAAGAGAGCTTTTAAAATTAAGGCTGTATCTACTTAATATCAATAACGACATTAATCCAAAAGTTTAAGGTTGTTATCACTTATTAATTTCGGTCATAAATACCTACCTATGTAAAAAGAAAACAAGTTTCATTTTGAGATAAATCGTCACAACGTGTAAAAACGACTGAAACTCCTGTTGGTCAGGGTCTACTAGTAGAGAACGACTATGTAGGTACCTAAACATCGAAACAATGAAATAATGTGGCTTTTCTAGAGAAAATTGTGTAATATATGCATTGAATAAATTAATTGACATTAGGTACTGTAAAACTGAGCACGCTGATCTTGAATGAGAGTCTCCAGAAACTACTAGCTTTTTTTACTCAATATTGTATACTAATACATAACATAACATCACGCCTTTTATCCCCGAAGGGGTAGGCAGAGGTGCACACAGATGTAACACACAGATGTAACACCCACTTTTCACTATTTATGTTATGAGTCCCATGTAATAGGGGGTGAGCCTATTGCCATATACCGGTATTGACCATTGTATACTAATAATTTACTTAAAATGGTTACAATGTATAGTTTCGCAAAATAGCGGTAGTATCTACATGCTTTGGTCAGAACAATATCTACCTACGCTAGTTGCTGTAGTCACATTCACAAAAATACGAATGAAACAATGATATAACTTTGCAACACAAAAACGTAACAATTTGACCGATATTCACTCCGTGGTCAAGGTGTTACTATTATTTTTATCATCGCAAAATATAGAGGGATGTCGTAAAACTATCGTCGCGGTTCAGGTGAACGGCCGCACGCATGCGCATCGTTCACAAGATGGCTCCCATATATCCGTCATCGGGGTGCCTGATGCGCGCCAAAATAAGATTATTGGAAATTTGACAGAGATGAGCGCGCGCACTTTACGATCGACGCTAGACGGGGTTTATGAGAAAAGATGTGATGCCGATGACGCATGTAAGTGGTCCTTGGGTATTTCTGGACGTTACATTATTTTTATTAATTTCTGAGGGCACCGAGCACGTAGGTACCTACCTACTATCTTCCATGAACTTGTTACATTTACTGACTGTCCTCTCTGATTTCAGAGAAAACTTTGACTATTGTATAAAAGTAAAAAAAGTCAAAGCATTTATTTCAATTAAACCATAATTTGGTAGGTGCTTTTCAAACGTCAAAAAATAGAAAAACAAAAAGAAATACCTAAATAATAGTCAGGGAACCTCGTTTCTCGTTCCAAAATGTAGATTCGAATTGGAGAAGAGTAGAAGCAATGTAAAGACACGCTTGATGTGAAATTATAACTTAATAAAGTAAAAATAGGTATGACAAAAAATATATCTTATAGTCAAACATGGTGCTCACATATTCTATAGTAGGTACCTAGGTATGTTTTGTAATTAGTATAATTCGTCAACCGTGTCTTTGCATTGTTCTCACATAATTATACGTAGGTACAGTATTGGAATATGTATCAAAAACATTGTAGAACTTATTTTTTTTTTTAAAGAGTAACGAATGGAGTTTCTTGCTCGTTTTTCTCCATCGAATCTATATTTTGGTATGAGCACCTAGCTTCACTGACGGACTGACTGACAGACTATTATTTATAAATTATTTGTTGACATTTCAAAAGTACTAAATTATGGTCTAATTGAAATGAATGCTTTGACATTTTTTTTTTGTAGTAACATAATAGGGAACGCCATTGAACTGATATTTTGCGAGGTAATTTGTCTGTGTAGTATTTTGTTTCTTTTTATTTTGTTTTGTTAGCTGTTAGTCTTCCAAAGTTGTTAAATAAATAAATAAATAAATATTGACAATCAAAAATAGTGCTTCTACACATGAAAAAAAAACCAACAACTCTTTGTCTTAAGAAAGAAATGTTCGATGCCACTAGATTGCCTACATTAGAATAAGTCACGCTTTCATTTAAAGCAGCACTCACGCGCTCTGTTTCCAGTAAGCTCCAGTTCCTATTGATTACAGCGAATTATAGATTAGAGCGCACAGATTAGCGCGTTTAGACAAATTATTCCGCTATATAACATTAGCAACCTTTTTTTGGGGAATAAAATCAGGGAATGTCAAATGTCAAAAACTACCCTGTTCCTTCTCCTGCTTCGACTGGTAACCCGCATGGCTGTCCGCAGACCCGGTTCCTTTTTACCTAGAAGTGGTTTTTCAGCCACAATAACGTCAGGTACTTTGTCCTTACAGATTATGCCTTGAGAAACTTTCTAGGTAGGTACATCAAATGTGTTGAGGTTATTTGCATCGTCTGGGGAAAAGGGCTCTTGGAAAAAGATGACGCAATAAATCAGTCACCTTGATAGTTCAAAACGCATAGGTACCAGTCGTACTGCAAATACTACATTGTGTCCTCTCCTCTACTATAATCAGGTGGACCGTCACTTTTGATGCTACAATGGTTTTGCACAAAAAGTTAAATTCAATACTTATACTTATTGTTTTGTTTTTTAAATTACCTTGAAATCAATGTATAATTCTATGGTCTATATATTATTACGTTGATATTGCATGTAAGAGTAACAAGCATTAACCCTTTAACCGCCAAGATTCTGAACTTTCAACTTACCTCCAGCGCCACGTCACTTTAGGTATAAGTTGGAACAGTGTTGGGAACACTTAATATCGATGCATATATTCTTTATTAATTAAAATCAATGTTTTATTTACCTACTTAATAAATAATCTAAAAATTTTCAATCTTCAAACGAAGTATACGAAAATGTGTATTCGGGAAATGGGCACGGCGTCGTCCGTTCTCCTGCTGGCGACGGTGACGATGCTCCACGAGCATGTCGTATTAAATTTAATAATTTCATGTAAACTTCTGAGCGGATTTCCGACTGTACGGTTTCCAGCTCAAAAGGTTTTAAAGATGCAAAGTATTCATTTCGTGGATCACTTGGTCTCTGATCAAAAACTTTTGCGTCACCATCTTCTAACTTTGCATAATGGACACATTTGGTTTTGACTGTGTTGATTTATTTGAGATATAACAAAAACCCAAAAAAGGGCTTACAACACTAGTTGCATTGAGTGATAAATGTTTAACGTGATTTTACGGTGACGGCGCTAAGACAACTCACAATACAGCGCTATAATCTCCTTGGCCGCACGTAATATTACGATGATGGCGACCGGCGATTGTCCGCACTAGTGCGGTTCTGCGTTATGAAATTTTTATATTATTGTTATAAATATTAAATAATTTAAAACTTAAATACATTTTAATTAGTACAAATACTTGCATCAAAGTAACACTATGGTTATTTTCTAATGAAAGTATACACTTTCATAGCAAATAGTGACCGTAATATCTATAGTGCCTTGTTTGTTCTTAGACAACCTATTAAGTATTTTTCGAATTCGCCCCATCCCTAGTACTCGTAAAATTACGTGATTGGCGATACAGATAATGGAGACGGTGACCACAATTTAATTAAACCTCAAATTTCACAGTATTTATCACTCAAAACATTGAGAAATATCCATAACAATAAAGATTATACCCTACATCTTGAAATTGACACATTTTATATGGAGTTTGTGCACTATAAGAAGATTTTTAATAAAATAACGTGATTGTACGTATGTGGCGATTCGGACACAGCTTTCGAAACCGTAATATTACGTTGTCGGCGGTTAAAGGGTTAAGCATACATCCACACAAAAAGTTGCAAATAAAATAATTTTGTGTTAGATCTCAACCTATTAGCGACATCTAGAGGTCGACATCATACAAAAGCATCTTTTACGAAAGTGACATCTAGTTCTGCACTCTTAAAAAAGTAGAAAGTTTGCGTAAACAGTAAGTAGTGACATCTAGCTTCAAGTACATTAACTAATCGCTACACACAAAAGTTAAGCCAGTATTTTTATTAAATAAACAAGATAAAAATAATAAACATGTACAATTTCCGCTAAATCATTATGTTTATTTTATTATTTTTACTATTCTTCAATAGTCTGCCTGCCGACTACAAACGAAAACAAACATTTATTTTTTACGCATGGCAACAAAACATGTTTTCGCGAGAAAACTTGTGATAGCATCGTGAATCTTATTTTGATTACAAAATTGGCATGAAACTAGATAATAAGCCGAAAAATAGTGAATATTTAGTGCAAAGTTATAGTGTTTGATGTGGTGTATTAAATATCCGCCTTCCAAGTGGAGCTGCTAAAGAAATTGCTTGCCATGGCGGGCCCGTCCGACGGCGATCCCGACGGATGGGTCGAGTTCTGCGAGCGTCAGGCCAAAGCCGCCGCTCAGGACTTCGCCAAGGCTTGCTTGCAGTATGTACAAACCGGTGCCGGCGACTCCGCAACGCGGCCGCAAGCTCCGCCTAAGGAGCTGCTGAAGAAATTCGTGGAATGTTTCTCGGAACAGTTCGAGTATGAAATTGGGAAGTTGAAAGCTTTGCATAAACTTCCTAACGGCACACATACGGGACACGACGAGAGCGACTATTCCGAAGATACAGACTCGCCAAAAACGCAACACAAACCATTTTTCCGAAGGTTATCTTTCAAAGGTCTGAGACGTGGGAAAGGGTTGTTCCACAAGCAACACTCGGACGAGGTGGAGCTCTCATCACATCTGAACAAACACAACAAGACTAAATTAGCTAAAATAGTTGTAGAATGTAGGAAGGAGGGGCTGGTAAATTATTTAACTCCTGAGAGTCTGGAACAGCCCAGTGGCCCTCAGAAGTGGGAAAGGTGCAGGCTAGCTTTGGTGAAGACGGTAGGGGGTTACATGCTGGAGTTCTACTCTCCTCCAAAAGCACAGAAGCCTCGCAGTGGAGTATTTTGTTTCCTTATATCGGAAGCCCGAGAAACCACTGCGCTGGAGATGCCTGACCATGAAAATACTTTTGTATTGAAGGTAAAGTATTATTATTATTTAATGTTATTAATGCAACAAGTTGTCCTGTAAGCCGTGCTATTGTTGTGAAACAACACCTCATGTTTATTGATTTATTTTTAAATCATTTACCTGTAGTAGGATGACATAATTGTTAGATTTATTATTTTTGTAATATTTTTGTACGAAATTGTATCAATTGAACTGTTTTACAATACTACAAGACGTTTTTCGTTTTGTGAACTATTAAATTAGAATATTAATCAACAGTGATTACTTGAGTACTCACAGCTGTGAATTTGTAGTTCCAAAATAATTATATTATTACCGGACATTCTGGTTTGTTTGATGTTATTTCTTTACAATCTACTGGCAGAAACTTTCTACAGATACAAAATAGAATCATTTATTTCAACAAATAGAGTAATTTAGTACATTGTTACATGAGTAACTATAATGGTATGGCGATATTATAGTTATGCCAAGTATGCGGTAAAATAAGAGCAGACTTTGTTGTTATTGTTCATTACAGTAATATTTGCTTGTGTACTTACATAGTATTCAACAGGTGTGGTGTCTCAAGTCCTTACTTGTTGAATTACATCTTCCATTGAGAACTTCAATTTCTATGTACATACTTACCTCAAATTATAAATCTCTCGACCTTTGCAGGCAGACAATAACATGGAATATGTAATAGAGGCAGCTGATGTAGACGATATGAAATCATGGTTGGCAACTATCAAGTACTGTATGAGAGCGCCCCCAACCACTCAGCCGCCGCCAGACGCGCTGCCAGGCATGCCGGAGCCGGCACCCCCTGACCTGCCACCACGAAGAGACCTACCAACCAGCACCAGCAATATTGACTTAGCTACTGACACTCCCGAAGAGGCTGAATTAGGTAAAATAAAGGTTGTCTGGATAGACACTCTTTTCAGGTGTAACTATCTTAATTTGAATTTATTGAAAAGCCCTTACTCAACTACAAAACGCAACAATTGTATGAATATTTTGATGAAATCTACATTTGTATTTTTATAACAAAAATACCTAGCATATGAACACAAAACTGATCAGAACCACTACGCGGCGATGCGATATTGCAATTGCATCCAAGCCTTTCGCATTATTTTCATTTCTACTATTACCAGTCATCACAAATAATGGATTCATAACTCATGCGTACTCACGCTTCCTAGCCGTAAGCAATCGGCCTATTGTGTATCTACCACTGTGTGCATCACTATAGTTTACGTATTGTTTATCATAAGACTGGATCAAATGCAAAGAATTTGATATCCAACTTCTCTGTTAGTAAGCACTTACGTTAGTGAACTGAAGTGATTTGACTGAAGTGATCCGGCGAAAGGAAAGATTACAATGTGCTTGTACAATGTAACATCAGATCTGTGAACCGTCAGAATCTAACAAGCTTCGATTTAATAAAGGTTCGATAGCAGAAGAAGCTTGTGAGTCATCATCCCGCATCTCCCTGGCGGAGTGGCCGTGGTTCCACGGCACATTGGCCCGCGCGGCCGCCGCGGCCTGCGTGCTAGCGGGCGGCGCCAGTGGTCACGGATGTTATCTCGTACGACAGAGCGAGACACGACGCGGGGAATATGTGCTCACTTTCAACTTCCAGGTGAGTTATCAAGCAAGAACATTAGGAATATTCTCCATTTGTATTGAACAAACAAACAAGCCCCTAAAAACTTGTTACTTAACTGCTGCAATAGTATTTTCAACCAGCTATGCACTACCTACATTTACAAGGTTATCACTCAAATTAGAGTGAAGTCTTATTTTCTTATGGTTTCCACTTGAGTTGTTTTTCTTGTTATAGTAATTTTAATCTTTATATCGTTAAACAGGGTCGCGCAAAACACCTCCGTATGACCCTGAGCGAGACGGGTCAGTGTCGCGTGCAGCACCTGTGGTTCCCCAACGTGCACGACATGCTGGAACACTTCCGAGCGCACCCCATCCCGCTGGAGTCGGGCGGCGCGGCTGACGTCACTCTCACCGAGTACGTCGTCTGCCAGGAAGGGAACCGACAACAAGTGAGCCATGCACAGATGGTTTCATAAGGCACGGTTACACGTACCAATCTCCACTATATACTGCGCAAATGTTTGCTGGATCAATTAGTGTTGCGCACGTGTAACCGCACCTTTTACTGCCTTTGGGGCTAATGCTTCTCGATTGTTTCTAAAAAATACATTTAAGCTAAAATGTCGAACATTGGCAGTTATTATATTCACCAGTGACTGTAAATATTTATTTCTAATTTATATTGTTGACATTTACTTATTTTTATTTTTTTTAACTTGAATAATGGTAATAGTTTCGAGCATTGGATCTGATTTTCTATGTTGTACATATGAACACTGGATGCTCAATGGTTTTGTAAACAGTCGAGAATCATTAGAGAGTATTCATTGATCTTCACCTGACCAATGTGGATCGACAACAAACGCACTTTTTATGACTTGCATTCTTCTGTTTTAATAAAGAGGCATATTGACCCACCGAACCTTACGAAGCTTTAACTCGAGACAAAGAAGAATAATAAGGTTCACAGCCAATTATATAATGTGATTATATTTGGCATTAAGGCTATGCAACAAACCTTAAACTATTAGGAAATGAGATTTTTATATTATGTAATAAAGACTCTTTGGATTAGGGTTTGGATTGCATTGATTCATGAAACTTTTGAGGCTCAATACTGCTCTATGGCCAAGCAGAAGCTTAATGCCATACGTACCCAGTAGTGGGTATATTATTACGCCATGCTAATTGCGAAGCATGAAGTTATATTTGTGCATAGAAATGTTTTTTTTTTGTATGTTTCGCCTTCAAGTAGCGTTTGTTCATATTTTGTTGCTATTGATGTTGTTAGTATGTAGCTTGTAGTTATATTTGCTCAGCATTGTTTGTTCTCATGCTCGTTTACGGCCCACGACTTACGAAGAAAATTGGTCCGATCGATACCGATCTATTTTCGTCCTTATCTACAGACTAAATAAAGATCGGAGTCAAAATTTTGTGCCAATTTAATGAATAAGTTCATCCTTAAACATTTTCCTTATGGCCCTTTTTTCGAATGAAGACGGGGCCTGTAAACGTATCACTTGTACGCATTAGAAAACAATATTAAAAATAGATTCTAATCTAATAAACAGTTCGCCGATCTTTGCCAATAAATACGTGAACATGCTTTAATTCAAGATGGCATCTACATCTTATAGCTTTAACAAAGTAGCACCTATGTTATACACTTGACCTCCTTGAGGTGTTTCGAACATGATTATAGCGAACAATATTTTTAGTAAGTTACTCTTGTATCAAGTTCTCACGATTCCTGTACGTGCTATATATTTATTGATGACAGTAAATGTAAATTTATTTATGTCATATTTAAAAAATAAGATATTATTACATTAGGTATAACTTAAGTGCCTATATAAATAGGAGTCGAGGAATCACAATGTTCTATAAAGTAATCGCATTTATACTTAGTTGGTACGTATTGTATACATTTTAGTTGAAAACGAGATCGTTTGCATTTTTTTTTTATTTCGTTACAAAGCTAACATTATAAGACAGTTATGAAAACGTAGGTATCTAATAGTTAGTTTACCCGAATTATAGGGTTTTTAAAGGAATAGTTTGGCTCTAGCTAAAAATGGTCCCATCACTTAGTTACTTTTTGATGTCTTGACAATATTTTAATTAAGGGAGAATTACACAACTGCCATTTTACACAAAATAAATATAGTATTGAATGTTCCTATTATTTTAAAGTATTTCAATAATATGTATTTTAATAAAGAAACATGTTGGGGCCAAAATATTCCTTGATTGTTGTAATATTAATTTATCATCATACATAACTCGAGTTTGATAAAAAAAATGGACTGTTAATATAATGTACTAACAATGGAACTTAGAAATATAATTTATATTGTTTATAATTTGTACAAAATCATGTTCTTCCGAGCTTTAATTATAATTTCTTGGTTGTAAATTTTTATTATTAAACTTTATTCTATGGAATGGCTTTGTTTTTTATTTTGCTGTGTTATTTTATTCTTCGTTTTTTTGTTGTCTGTGTGTTGTGTTGCAAGCATACTCATTTGGTAAGTTTTTTTTTATAATATTTATGCTTTTATATATAGCTTGTGATTTGTATTCTTTCGTGTAAATATTTTAATTACAGCATAGTTAATGTAGTGCTTTAAAACTAATAACTAGCTATGAATGTAATATCACAATAAATAAACAAATATAACTATCGTAAGAGTGTCAAAGTCCTCTTTCCGAATGTTTGAGACATTGTGGACAGATCGAAACAAGATAATTTAGAAATTCATTGACAATCAAAGTTGACGTATGGTATGCAGTTTTAGTTGATTGTATTAATGAATTTAGTAGATAAAAAACTTAGATTTTGATATACTTGTAAATTGCAACAAGATGTAAATGTACATGATGGGAAAACATTATAATATATCTGCATAAACTCATCATTTTGTTATTGTTGCGTTGTCATGTCCGTTTTTACTTAATTCTTGACAAAAGCATCTTATACATACAACATGCTAGCTAACCATCTAATACTTATTTCGCAGTTGGACGTCACCCACGGCAGCGACGTGCGCATGCGCCGCGCGGAGCTAGAAGCGCTGCTGGTTGCTAGCGGAGCTCACCACGACATCCGCGCCGTGGACAACCAGTACACCTTCGTTTAACCATCGCCATACTGTGGAGCGACCAGTGGACTGCTCCAAACTATTAACAGAGCGCTCTGCTGCAAGGAAATTGGTACTGTACCTACATTCGTCTAGAGTTCATTGTTGTATGTGTCTTAACACTTTGACGGGGAATCCTATTAGAATTGTTCTAAGCTGATCTTATATGTGTAGACGTTTGTATGGTGAAGTGGTGTTGGGACTTTCTTAGTGACGTCAGGAAGGGATTTGAAACTTAAAATCATAAAGTTTTATTTCCTAATTGGTAGGTAGTATAGCCGTTGAGAGGTCAGCTCTGAATAAATAAGTTTAACCGTCTTAGGTTCGTTTGATATACATACAGCATCTTTGCAACCTTACGGTCTTTGAATAAAATTCAAAATTGGTCAATTCGAATGTGCTCATATATCACTTGACAGTTAAGTAGGTACAGAAGAGACTGAAGGACATAGATTGAAGATTTGTTAAATAAAGGAACATTTGGTACGGTTTGTGTGACTAGTGTTGCTGACATAAAGTAACAAGTTTTAGTTTACATGTAAGTACATTGTACCATGTATTTTTAATCGTTGTTTTCATGGTACGATATCACTTAACAACTTAATTATACTTAAGATCATTTTGGTGTTTTTTTTTTTATGGGAGAAAAATCATCGAATGACTTCTCCCGCCCGGGTGAGGCGAGAGGAAATGTCAGAACTCTTACTGACTAAAAACCACCCCGTTCCTACTCCTGCACTTCTAGCCGGCTACCCGTTACGTTCTCCGTGGCTCCGTATCGGTATCAGCCCTATTGGGCCTCATCTGTGGTCTGATACATGGCTCTTTGGACGCGGGTCGGTTGGCTTGTGAGGAAGTTGTACATCTCTGCTTCACAAAAGGAGGAAACTGCATCCCAGTCCACCTCGCTCCGTATCATGGCCCGAACTAGGGCCGAACGCGAGAGGTCGCCGATCACATCCCTGAGGACACGGCGGTGCTCAGCCCTTGCAGGGTCTGCCTCCACTGTGTCCTTCGGGCAGTCCACATAGTGATGACACCCGGACATTTCCTCCCGTCCTATCAGATACACCCGTATCTATCAGGAGGTACCCACCTCCTAAAGCTCCCATGTCCGGCGTCAGGCGGTAGGTGAGGACGCCGTAGCGTCTCAAGCTACTCCTCAAAAAGGGGACTTACCGGTACAATGACAGCGAGCCCAGGCTTTGGTTCCGACAGTCGTTGCTGCCATACCGCCATGAGATAGCGCCGATGCTCATCCCGCTACGCGTATATCTGGCACGGCAACGGAGTTTAACCCCGGCGGCATGCCTCCGCGCGCAAATAAAATACGCGCGCGAGCACCTTCGCCTTCAGATCCCACGGCGGTAATCTGGCAAGGAGGTTCGCCGCCTTCCCGGAGATCGTGCGATATCTACGGATTATTTAGATCGCCATGACCCTCTGATTCTTGAGCAGTGCCCGAGCGGGCTGCCGCATTAGATTAGGCGCCAACACAAGGGCGTCGTAGAGCCGCACGATCCCACGCGTACACCCTCCAGCAGGAAGCGTCGGAAATGCTCCACGAAGTTCCACCGACTATCGAGGACGAGTCTTAGGTACTTCTTCGTCGTCTCGACGCCGATGGTAACCCCTCCCGCCGTTATTTGAGACTCACCCAGAGGTGGCAGTTTCCCGCGGCCATGATATTACATGGCCTCGGAGTTGTGGAGCGCCACCTTGAGTCTCAGTTATCGGATCCTTTCAACAACTGTTGTAACCGCCCTCGCCATTAAATTGGCCGCCGCCTGGTGCGACCTTCCGTGCGCTAGCGTGTCGATGTAGCATACTACGCTAACGCCGTTCGGGAGGTCGATATGCAGCACCCAGTCATAGCCGATGTTCCACAGGAGCGGCCTCAGAATCGAACTCGAACCCTGCGGAACACCGCGTTTCTCACCGGTTCCACTCACCGCAGAGACCGGGGTAGCTGACGGACCTGTCCATCAGATAGGCACCCGATGATATCGGAGTGCTTCCAAGGTGCAGCTCTAGGGCAGGGAGTTATTTTGGTGTGTTACATCTAGAATATCTAGATTGACTGTCGCAAACACACATATAACTTTATTTATGTGCGTAAAATACGTTGAACACACGCAAAAGGTAGTCTATTATATTAGTATTGTGTGATGTTCATAGACTTTGACAGTCTATCTAGATAATTAAGTACACATGTAAACTAGGAAGGAACAATCCTTAACTCATAAAAATCTATGTTATATTATCTGACTTACTAATTTGTACCTTAAATGTATGTATTTAAGGTTTACTTAAGCACAAAGTGAAATCGGGTAGCTAGAATGTATGAAATGAAATGCTGAATGGGTTTTCTCCACAGTATAGACGAAACATATTTAATGTAATAATAATTATTATTACTGCATGTACCGCTGTAGCCAATTAGTTTGAATGTGACATAAAAGCTAGTCGATGTTTTCGACTGCAAATGTAATTTGTGTAACTTTGCAGCTTTTAGTAAAATGTAGCTCATTTTGTTAGGGGTAAGGTCGAAACTCCTTTTATTCAGATCGTGTATATCCGGTTCTTATACCTTCACCAGGAGGTGATGAATACTCTATTCTTCCTTAAGCACTAAAACAGAGGGTCTAATTTGACCGGCAAATAATGTTACTAATCAATGATGAATGTCCTAAATAATACTTCTCTAGACCTTATTAGGGCTCCCATTTGTGGAGTTTAGAACCTTTTTAAATTTACTGTGGGCTGAAAATAACAGTTGACAAGGTACAAAAACCGATTATTTTACACAACCTGAATATTCTGCAATTATTTATTTGTGCAATAGGTTTATTCTAAATTAAGTAAAAACGCGGGTTACTCACATGAATATACTGAGAAAAGCTCTACTAGTTTCGAACCACAGAGGGGTTCTTCCTCATGAGCAGCGTGCGCGGTCGCGGCGACGTCGCGCAGCTCACTGGCTGGCGTTGGCGCTCGCCTCGGTGTTGCCACCTGCGCTGCGAGCCCAACGCGCCCTCTGTCGGACACTACGAGCGTTTGCTTCCAACTCCGGCAGCGCGTTGGACGAAGCTAAAGCGCACGGTACGTTCACCAGCGGCGCGGGTCGTGGGTTCGATTCCGGGTTCGGCACAAAGTCAGTGTTGCATATAACGCTTACTGTGTCACACTCCAGACTGGAGACGCTGTGGATCGACGAAGACTCCAAGCTCGGCTTCCACGCGGGTGGCAGTGCCCAGCCACCATCCCTGTTGAAGCACGGTCGTCGGCTGATCTCGATGGCCTCTCGCACTTTTCGCGGAACGAAGTATTTTTCTCTCGCTAGTACGGAGACCTTATCAAAACGTATGAAGTGAGCCGCGTCCGTACCACAAACATGTTCAGCCACTGCCGATGCCTGGATGTCCATCTTCTTCACGCTGCGTATATGTTCCTTTAGCCTGGTTGTGATGTTGCGACGAGTTTCCCCGATGTAACTCGAGCCACAGTCGCACGGTATTATGTACACTCCGGGTACAGCCAGTGGATCCTTATCTTTAGGTGAGCGTAGTAGTCAGCCAGTGAGCTGCGCGACGTCGCCGCGACCGCGCACGCTGCTCATGAGGAAGAACCCCTCTGTGGTTCGAAACTAGTAGAGCTTTTCTCAGTGTATTCACGTGAGTAACCCGCGTTTTTACTTAATTTAGTATGTCTCACGATAGGTTTATTCTATTTATTCTAGTATCTCTAGTGTTAATTTATTGGTATTTAATAAGGCTTAGCCAAATCTATGTTATTGAATGTACTTAAATTAATGTTTTAGATTGTAAGTAATGTTTTCTGTATCGTACACTGCCAAAATGCCCCGATTAATAGACTATTTCTTCAAATTTTGTCAAGATCAAACTCGCAATGTTTAAAACGTGTCAAAATTATAACAATTTCTTTTTTAAATCGGTTATTAATTAAGTATCCATTTCTAAGACTATATTTCTATCGATTAAAATTAACAGCAGTTTACGAGAATTACGCGTAATAGCTTAATAAATAAACTAATTTGCACTACTTGAAGACTGTTGACTGACTCTAACCGATTATCTGATTGTATAAATTAACGGTAAAATAAAAGCAGACAAAATTAAATGTTTAACCATCTCGGTATAAGATTTAGCAGATTTAGTAAAACCTATGAGGCTTTAATACTAAACCAAGAATGTATACAGGGGGTAGTCTGTTGTAATAGTTATACATTATGGAACTACTAGGTGGATAAATATTCTACCTTCGTAATATCTGTTATAAGTGTCTATGTAGGTAGGTAGCTAGGTATACAGATAAGGGAAACATATCGCTTTCCGACACTACATCAACAAATACAAAAAGAAACGAGTTTTTACGCCACTAGAGGCATTTAAGTTGCGAAATATTATTAAATTTTTGGATATTGTCAACTTTTGACAGCTAATGGGGCTTTACGTCTCACTAGCGCCAATTAGTAAGTGAATGAAAAATGAGATCTTTTTGACTGAAGACAACATCTCACTTGAAATGTCTATCTTATTCATTCAACTTTAAGATCTATTTCAAAGTTGTTATATAATTATCCACCATATTTCACCGGTGTTATAAAAAATAGGTACTATACGTCTGTATTATAATTAATCAACTAGGATTATTATTGTATTTAATGTGTAACAAGAACTTGCAACAAACAATGCAATCAAAGTATTGCTAGATGTTTTATCGATGTCACATCACAGTCAATAAACCTTTCAAGGGACAGCTTAACATTTTTTCATAATTATCCTGTATTGGTTGGTTCATTGGCGCCGGCCAATCACAGTGCCGAACGCATACTCGTTTCGAATACTTAAAACGTAAAACAAAGGCCTCTGCATATGGAGACTTTGAATAATTAAGTTATCTGTAACCAGAATAGCCTATGTGAAGTTGCTAATCTAATTTTGTCGTGCTTATGTTTGACCACAGTTACACATGATGACTGATTGATAGCAAGGACAGGTTTTTGGGCTGGGGTAGTGCCGTACTTACCCACAAAATCTTGAAATTTTTCTCGCTACATAACGGTTAGGCTGTCAATTGAACGTCTAGGCTAAAGATTGTGGCAAAGATAAAAATAAGACAATGAATACGTATTATGTATTTAAACTGAAGTGAACGAACTTGATCAATTAAATCCATATAAAGGATTGTTGCATGAATAATATTGTATGTAAAATTAATTGTTGTTGGAATTGATAACAAAAAGATTAACTCATTGACAAAAAATTACTATATTATAAAAAAAAGTATAACATATTTGTTGGTTTTTTAAAACTGTTCACGCTAAATGAAATTTATCATGGAAATTATGTATGTAAATGTAAGTAGGCTTATTTTGTATGTGAAAGCCAAGCGACGTCAAGTTATGTACTCATTAACCGTTCAGTCAGTGTACACCACACATTCCTGTAATTTGTATGTAATTTTTGGAGAACGAAATATAGTCATATATTTTGCAAAAAAAACGATCTTATTTATTCACTCGCCCGTCATGGCTGCACGAAAACTGTTCAGACCAATTCCTCCACTAGCATTACCAGTGACCAATACATTAACCCTTAGAGCGCCACGTCAGTCACCGATGCCTGGCGCTAGTAGAGGTTTGACTTTCACCATTTTAAACTTGGTAGTTAAAGCGTTAACTAGTGTTTGTTGTGATTAAGATGTTAACTGGTCAAAACTCAGTGCATTCTTAGTATGTTTTTGCCTATACCTTCGAAAAATTATAGACGTAATTTTCCGTAACTGTTTTATCTATACAGATAATTATATAAAATTGGAAGTTTCTGTTTGAAAATATTGGAATAACCGCTGTTTACAACATGCGAAATGATACATATACCAAAATAACACTTTTTAGAATTTTAGTCTGTTTGTACCTACTGGCTAATCTCTGAAATGGGTGAACCGATTTTGACGACAGAACTTTTATTGGCAGCTAAGGAGTAACATGGCCACTTTTATTTTAGAAAACCGCAGACGAAGTTGCGGGTTCAGCTAGTTTTGGTATGAAATATTCTTATAAACCAACTCAATCGTCGAGTAACGGCACTATGTAGAACTCTGAGAACATCTGCCGCTGGTCCTCCTTCTCCAGCTTCAACTGCAGCAGCATTAGGCCGTTGGAGCTACATCTGAGGACTACCTGCAAGTGAATTACACATAATTACTACCAAATTCATAGCTACCATGAACTAACTTGAGAATTATTAGGGCCTTGCTTGCCAAATATCCTTGAGATGATCAATTTTTAAATTAAGTCCGCGGTAGATACGAAGTCTTAATCGTGCTATTAGTGGTGAATCCGACTGCGGTTTTTATTATAGGGAGACATGTTTGTCAAAATAAATGTGGGAGAGTCATGTTTCGAAACGAATGGGCCGGCTCGACCGGAGTGAGACCACGGCCTCACAGAAAACCGACGTGAAGCAACGCTTGCGTTGTGTTTCGCGGTGTGTGAGGTTACCGGAGGCCCAATTACCTACCCTCCCCTTCCCCAATCTCCCCAATTCTTGAATCCCCAACGATCCTCAAACTCCTAATCCTCAAAAGGCCGGTAACGCACTTGTAACGCATCTGGTGTTCCAGGTGTCCATGGTCGAAGCCGATTGCTTACCATCAGGTGATTCGTCTGCTCGTTAAGGTACCGGCTTATGCCATAAAAAAAATCACTGTAGCTATGTCCGATAACAACAACATAACATCACGCCTTGTATCCCTGAAGGGGTAGGCAGAGGTGTACATTACGCCACTGTACAATGTGACACCCACTTTTCACTATTTATGTTATGAGTCCCATGTAATAGGGGGTGAGCCTATCGCCATATACCGGGCACAATTCCAGACTCCGTGCTACTACTGGGAATTTTTTGAAAAACCCAGTAATACTTTGCCCGACCCGGGAATCGAACCCGAGACCCCTTGCCCGGCAGTCGCACTTGCGACCACTCGGACAATAGTATGTCCGATAGTTTGGCTAATTCACTATTAACAAAAAGGACCTCATCTTACACTAACATTAACACTTTGGAACGAGTACCTAACTTCACTGATAGACTGACGGACGGACAATTCAATATTTGACTTTTCATAAGTGCCTTTTTAAGGATTAATGTAAATAAACGCTTTGACTTTGACTCGATTTGCAAAAAGAATATTACATTGATGTGGGATGTATGTAATGTTAATTTAAAACAAACCTTGGTTGATATAGCTAGTGCCTTCATAATAGTCCGTATGTGATGTAGCTGATACCTCAGAGTGACAGGGGACTCACAACTGAAGCTTTGCACCATATCTGATGACTTCGGCATGTCAATGCAAGACCTGTCCTGTAAGATAAAGATAAAGATACATAAGCCTAAGTTAAAGCCTTTATTTCCCAGAGGTAGGAACAGTTATCTTATAAGCATCAATAAGAACACATTAAAATGATTTCTTAAGAATCTCTTTATCTAATTAAAAAAACTGCATTAAGATCCGGTTAGTTTTATAGATCTAAGCATACATAGGGACAGACTTTGTTTTATACTATGTAGTGATGTATTTTCTATATTCAGGTTTCCCTAATATCACAAAACAAAATAGATTACATATTTATAAATTTCAATGTTACTGTATAAGCTCAGGGTTTGCCAGCGGGCCATGGAGCGCAGTATCTTAGGAGTTCGACTTTTGGAGAGAATTAGGAACACCACACTGGGCTCCACAACTAAAATCGCTGACATTGCTCATAAAGCAGCAGGTTCGAAGTGGAACTGGGCTGGTTATGTCTGCCGCATGTCAGACAAGCGGTGGGCAAAAATTACAACCGAGTGGAGCCAACTCAACGTCAAGAGATGTCGCGGCAGGCCCAAAAGGAGGTGGCGGGAATTGGATGGCGACGAATTGGAAATCTATGGCAAGGATTGGCCGCAAAAGGCCTTTGCCCTGCAGTGGGACGACCATAACTGAAAATAAAATAAAATGTTTGTGTAAGTGATGGCTATTGTATTTGAATCAAGTTTACCTGCATGCCATAAGTAACAATGCTGACATTTGGATGCTCAGGTGAGAGGTTCAATTCAAAGACTTCACAAGATCGCTCCAAGTCTGCCAGCAGACCAAGGAACGCAGGAGCCTTCAGCACCAACTTGGCAATCTCCTCTGCATCCTCATCTCGAAGTTCTAATACAGAGTCTGCTGTTTGTGTTGCTATCTCACAGTCTGTCATGACATTGTTCACTGATTGGGGTTGTAACCTGGAAAAAAATTTGATTAAACAATCTATAGCAAAACTTCGACTAGAACACTGTCTACATATTCTGTATATTTTGTGGAAAAAAATAAAAAAGCAAAGTAAATTTTTAAGTCCGCCATCATATGTTATACAGAAGTGTAAATAAATAAATAAATTTCAAGCATACATAGTCAATTCAGTGTAGTTATAACTTACACTAAAAGTAGAGGTGACCCTTCTCCCCTGTAGTACATCTTCAAACTGGACTCCTCGCCTGAGCCAAATATATTCAGACATTCTGCCAGTACCGCAATGCTGATCTGAAATATATAATTTTACAGCTATAGCATGCAACATATTTTAGTAAATAAAATAAGTGATTATTTCTTTGTTATTCTTTATTTATTAGCTACAAACAATCAGGACCAGCAGAATAATCTCTGGATCATAAAAAGAAGCACATTTCCATGTAATTGAATCCAGTGATTACCTTGAACATAACATCAACATCGTCTCGCACATGGTACTCTGTAAAATTATCTGAAGGTACATAGGCTGAAGCTTGCACACATTTGCCCTCTTCCACGGTCAGTTTCAGTCCCTCAGGTAGAGCACAGAATACTGCAGTCTAAAAGAAAAAACATACAATGAAAACCCACTGTTTTGTAATAAATAAATACAAAAAGTAGAATAACATGAAAAATAGTAACATATTACCTCTTGAAACTGAATGGCTTTCAATAAACTGCACAGTGTCTTCCCAGAATCCATAGATGCTGTGAAATAGTATTGGGAAGTTCCTTCATCCATCATTCTCATCAATGACATACATGGAGCGTAATAACATCAAGTACTGATCCTGCGTTACTTCATGCTCAGTTACCCTGCCAAGTATTTGAGCAATTCTCCCTGCTAGCACATGCTTGCACAAAATTTGAGCTTTACGTTCTAAAACTTGGTGCTTAAACGATTGGCAAGGGCAATAATTAATGCGTGGAAAAATACGGTAGCACCGGTCGTTTTCACCTTTTATTTCTATCAAGGTTCTTGCTTTGTTTACTGTGGTGTACGCAACAAACGTCGGATACTTTTCTAAGATATCTAATGCTCTTTCAAACACTGCTCCAAATACTGAATGAAGCGACAATAAATCTTCATCTAGAACTGTTAAAATACAAAATTAAAACTTATTTATAGTTTTAAGCACACATTTACTAAAAAAATACAACTGTAACGATAAACTTAACCAAACTAACGTAGTTTGTCCTCACTATTGTTAACACGATTTTGTATTTGATTCAGCAGGTACTCGGCAACAAACGGTATTTTAGACGGTGTTGAATTGTTCATTATTCACTTCGAAATGTATATTAAATCTAATTTCTCGATAAAACTATTCAACTGTTGTTAAATCGAATTGCCGCCAACTAAATCAAAACAATTCGAAATGTCAATGTCATGTCATGGGTTTTCGACGTAAAATTAGAGGTGCTACAAGGTACAAGTGCGCCAAAAGGAGCAGGTCCTTTTGGAGTCCTGGGGGTTTGGGCCCTCGCTGCCTTCGATAATCTCACTGATAACTGACACAGTGAAACATAAGGCAAGCGTTATTTCACACGGGTTTTTTTCAGGACATGATATATTTTGATACTCTGATCTAACCGAAATATTATGGAGTTTGTTAAGTTTAGTAAAAATAGGCTTCATTTTTTCTCTTTTCACTTTAGCGTAAAATGGAACGTGCGATTTCTTTTTCAGTTTCAGGATGAAGAAAGCTGTCAGTAAAGCGTCAATGTCTAATGTCAGTGTAGGGAAATCTATGAAAATCCTGAAAATCTAGATATCAGTGTTATTTTTTTATTAATTTGGTGTATCTAGAATGGGAATATTGAAGATTTAATAGTGAAAATATTAACAGAAATTATTCTTGAAATCGGGATTCCCGACAGGTTTGTAAAGAAGCTTACTTAAACATTTTTCGTGTAATAGTTTATTAATATTCGACTTCCAATAACATAGCGGGGTGCGGTTTCAGGTGGATGTGGAGCTATGCCGGAGCATTTGGAACTTCAACACCTTGTGGACTTGTCGGCGGGGAGCGGCGACGAGACACTACCAAATCTTCTTGAGAACAAGAGACCATTAATAAAGAGATGCCCATATCTCGGCCTGATACTGGCGACATTGTCGTCTTTGTTCTTCTCACTATGTTCGGTTATCGTTAAAAGCCTCGTTAACATCGACCCTATGCAACTCGCCATGTTCCGATTTATTGGAGTACTTCTTCCAACTATACCCATAGTCATATATACAGAACAGCCTGTGTTTCCTGAAGGGAAGCGCATCCTCCTACTATTGCGGTCCATTGTAGGCACAGTAGGCTTAATGTTAAGTTTTTATGCTTTCCGTAACATGCCACTGGCAGATGCTTCTGTTATAGTATTTTCAGTGCCAGTTTTTGTTGCATTGTTTGCTCGAGTGTTCTTGAAAGAACCTTGTGGTATTTGGAATACAATATCCATTATATTAACTCTTATTGGAGTGATATTAATAACTCATCCACCATTTTTATTTGGTGATGATCCTGGTGCAGAGCATAATCAGAATTACAATAGTTTACGAGGAGCTGTAGCTGCCTTTATATCAACAATATTTGGAGCAAATGCTTATGTCCTGCTTCGAGTGCTCAAAGGATTGCATTTCTCAGTAATAATGACAAACTTCGGTGCTATTGCTATAATACAAACATTGTTTTACTCATATGTGTTTGGGGTGTTATGTATGCCTATTTGTGGCACTGAGAGATTCCTTGTAGTATGTTTGGCTTTGTTTAGTTATCTGGGTCAGATATTGTTGACAATGTCTTTGCAAATGGAACAGGCTGGTCCTGTAGCCATTGCTAGGTCTGCAGATATAGTGTTTGCGTTTTTGTGGCAAGTCATGTTCTTTAACGAGATTCCAAGCAAGTTTTCTGTATGTGGAGCCGTGTTAGTTTTAAGTTCAGTTATGTTAGTTGGTTTACGTAAGTGGGCCCTGGCTTTGCCTACAGATTCACAATTGAGATGTAAGTTGGGTGCACTAGCACGATAAACTGTTTTATTGGATCACACTTGCATAATATATAATGCCGCCACATTGTTTATGATTAAGTTACTTGAATGTTTCAGTTGTGAATGGCTCAAAAGCACTGGAAATACCTACTTTTTTTGTTTGAAAATCTTGACAGGAATTAATCCTTTATTCTAGTTTTAAATTGTTAATGGCACTATACAATAGTTATGCCCTCTAATTTGTGATTGTTCTCCTAAGTTGTTATTTATATCATGTCTTTTGATGTTCAATATTATTTACCTACTAATCTACAGAGCACACAAATTAATGGTCTTGTAGGTTTGACATGAACCAAATACTTACACCAAAGAAATAATTTAGGTTTGGTATTTTGTACCTTTGTATAATTCTGAAGGTTTACAATTTATTATAATCCCATTCATCTGAATCTCAACCTATGTAATTTATTTATTTTATGGTTTTCGAGAGTAACCAAGCACACCATTCTTGTTAATTGGAACCTTGTCATTAAGTGCTAAAGAGTCATTTTACTTCGACATAATAAAACAGTCTACAAAGAGTAGAACGTTTGCTTTAAGTGCTTGTAAGTATGTATAAGAATGGACAGAAACAATAACTATTATAAATTGTAATATTTAAGTAAAACCTTTCACCCTAAAAGACTGTTAAGTAAGTCCACTCAAACTTGTGTTGTGTGCGTTGGCCTCTATTTATCACTCTGCCTAGTAATTGTGTTCCTCATCGGCTTTAATAATTTAGTCCTATCATTTATTATTAATATTAATTATTTAAATGTTTATTGTTGTCAGAAAGCTTTATTGAATTACTATTTGCTTAGATATCGCTATTTGTTATCAATTATCTTGTAATCCTATTTATTATATATACATATATTGCTAATAATATTTAAATGGTTACATCTCACAGTTACATATCACCAAAGTTATTTATTTGTGTTCACTAAAATATCCTCGTTCATATAACTATTTTATAGCAGTCACATCTCAAATAATTTTGTGAAAACCAAATAATAATATTATGTAGTCATTCTCATCTAGTCATGTGTAGTTAAATAAGAAGTAGTCATTTTAATCTTGATATTTTTGTTTAATGAAGAAAATATAATATTTTTATAGGATCCAAAATGTTTAACTCTAAAAATTGTTTTAATTTCAATCACATTTTACAATCGTGTAGTTAGTTAATTACGTAATTTCGGTTTGAAAATGATTCTTAAGAAGATTTAGTCATTAATAACATAGATATATGGCACAATAATGAAGAATAGTTTGTTAAAATAATGATTAAGTGATTCAAGGACTATTTACATACCCCTGCAGTAAACAAATAAGCGCAATCAACACATCTGAAGTACTACTTCCCAACATAATTTTTTTAAATTGTTTTTCTTTTAACTATGCCAAAAGCTTTTTATAGTTGGTTAAATATACCTGCATACGATATTTCAAATGTTTATCGGCTAAATTGGTGTTGTTGACTGTACATAATTGATTGGATTGTGATATTTTTACTTCTAGTCATAAAACTACTATGTACACTGCTTAATTTAATAAATATAATGTTCAATATTATACAGTATTCATTTATTTTATGACCTGAGTACCTAGTTTGGGTTTGGTGCTGATTAGCAACGTAGCTTACTACGTTATCAATGGTGCTTGTTATTAGAATTCAAATCTCGCGGGCTACCTTGGCATCCACCTATAGGTATTCACAGATATTAAAATAAAAGCATTCAACCGTATACTGCCCATATTTTATGTAGAAGAATAAATTTTGTCCGTATAAAACAATTGCTAATATTTTATTTAACTCTCATGATTAGGATTAATAATTCATTAAATAATCTTAGTTTAAATAAAAACATCACTATCATTTGCACGATTCACATAGACAAACTAAACTAATATCCTTTTTTTCCAAATGACAACCTAAGCACTTGCAGCTAACTTCACATCTGTTTCTGTCACATAACAGTAAATGTCATTGTCAATTCATGGCTGTTGTTTGAGTATTTTCGATTATTCATAGTCAAATTCAAAAACTTTTCTCGATATTTCAAGAATTATCGTCTGAAGTTATTTGTTCGTATATCATAAATAGCAACAATGGCAGATCGTCTAACGCAGCTCCAGGACACCATAAACCAGGTAAAAATAGCTTACTTTTGTGTTCAATTTGTTGGTACATCATGACATTTGTATTTACATTACTTTTTACTTTTTTATAGCAAGCTGAACACTTTTGCAACAGCATAGGCATATTGCAACAGTTCTCTACACCAAGCAAGTTCCCCGGCTTCGATCGTAGTGGATCGCAGACCCCGCAACAGCAACAAAACCAGGAGGATTATGCTATGTTGTTTGCGACGCTTATTTCTCGTTGTGCGAAGGACATTGATACGCTGATTGAGTCATTGCCTAGTGAGGAGAGCTCTACTGAGCTGCAGGTGCAAAGCTTGAGACGTTTGGAGGCGGAGAACAAGGAGGCTGCTGAACAACTTGAAGAGGTACATCACTGTTGAGTTATTACTGTGAATGTCTCATTTGTCACATGCTGTTTTTCGATGATTTGAATGATACTAACTATTAGTAATATTACCTACACATTTGCAATGTTTTTCACTTAAATAAATTGTTATTGCACTGCATTAAGTATAAAATACCTTCAGAAATAAGTCATTCAATAAAATTTTTCTTAATGAGCATTTAAATCTTGTCCCTTGCAGGTAGTCCGTCAAGGTGAGATCCTCCTGGAGAAGATCCAAGGAGCTCTGAGTGATATTGCTCAGTGCCAGTTGGACATGCAGAACCCTGCACTGATCCTCAATAAAGATGTGAAACCTCAATTATAGGGCTCACGGAAACACGGTACTGATTACCGTAGATGATCTGAAATGAACAATAGTGGGAGTTTTGTGTATGTGTGGTTTGCCCTTCTGTGACAAGAGGCAGTGTAATCTATTTTGTTTTATGCTAATTGTGGCTAGTTACTAAAATACTAAATTAAACAGTTACCTATTTCTACTCAGTATTTTTTTTTCTTTTTTTTTTATAATTGTCTGTAGTGTATGACATAGGAGGTATGTCATACATTAGTTTACTAATTATAATACTTACAGAGGCTCACGACACTGAAAAAGAAGTTAATACGCACCTATATGGGTCATATGATACACCTAACAGAAATTAACAGAATTAGTGTACAGAAAATGTACTTACAAAAAAGTGTGAATATTTAAGTTTAATAAAAATAAATGTGCTAAAATATGAATAAAAATTTTAATTGGGCTGTTATTTAATACGCTTTTACCCAATATGAAGAGGCTTTTTCCAAAAATAGAAAATATTTGAAATGTTAAGTAGTTTATTGCTCACCTTCACTCACTCATATTTC